ACTACAATACAACAATAAAAAATAAGAATTAGTAATAAGTCAATGTCAAAATTTTCAAAATTTGGTAAATTTGTGCGAAAGGCGTCACAAATCTCCGAACTTACATGAATACAAAACGAAACTTGTACCTAATCATCACTAACGTTTCGAGCACAATCGATGCGTATTCACTTTCGTATCGAGTGTCCGTTTCGAGTTGTGTTTTCGCAATCCCCCCGCAGATGTCTGACGATTCACATACGTCATTAACACGACCAAGTTTATCTGCTGCCTCTACCGACCGCCATCTAACACCGAGTACCAAAACTTTTTCGCGACATTATCCGAAAGCTGTGATAGTATACAGTCAAACTATCCACAGGCGGAAATTGTCTTTTTAGGCGATTTCAACGTCCACAATATACCCTGGCTGAAACACCACAACAAAACAGATAACGAAGGCAGAGAAGCAGAAGCTTTTGCCATAAGTTGTGGTCTAACGCAGCTTGTCGATGAACCTACCCGTATCTCAGAAAGGGGCGAATTTGCAGCGCTTTTAGACTTGTTCCTAACCACAAATCCTGACTCGTACACAATTCAAGTAGATGCTCCACTTGGTTCGTCCGATCATAAACTTATAATAACAAAGTGCGAAATGCTCATCCCACCAAGCCAACAACCACTTCCTCGTAAAATGTGGCACTATAAATCGGCAAAATGGAATGACCTAAAACAGTTTTACCTGGATTTTCCATGGCAAGAGATCTGCTTCAAAACAGCTGATCCCACTATTTGCTGTAATGAAATAACACAAGTAATCTTATCTGGAATGGATGCATATATCCCACATACAACTAAACGTAGAGCTAATGCAAAACCTTGGTTCAACAGCCAGTGTCAAACGGCTGTACAGAAAAAACACAGAGCATATAACCTTTGGAAACGACAACAAACCGCTCAAAACCACACAGAATTTATAGAAGCCAGAAATAGTTGCAAAATTACTATTGACTCCGCTAAAGAAACATACAATCAAAGAATAAAAAACAGGTTGCTGAATTGTCCAAGTAGTTCTAGGTCCTTTTGGTCTCTTGCAAAAGCTGTTGGATCTAACTTCACCAAGTCATCCATACCACCACTTACAGATAAAAATAATCACTTAGCCACAACATCAGAGGAAAAAGCCAATATGCTGGCCCAAATGTTTTCCTCCAACTCCAACCTAACAGTGCCAAACGGAAAAACTCCACCGTTCATTGAAAGGGTTTCCCATAGTATGCCAGAGGTACCCTTTTATCACAGAGAAATACGAAAATCCCTTAAAAAGCTAGATACAAACAAAGCAATGGGTCCGGATGGCATTCCCGCAATAGTACTCAAAAATTGCGCCAACGAACTCACCCCGACTTTCGCAAAATTATTCAATTTGTCTTACAGGCAAGGAGTATATCCATCATCATGGAAGTCTGCCGCAGTATAACCCATTCCAAAGAAAGGAAAAAAGACAGATCCGTTAAACTATAGACCAATTGCTCTACTTCCGGTGATATCAAAAGTAATGGAAAGAGTTGTGAACAATCACCTAACCAAGTACTTGGAAAAGTACAAAATTATCAACGATAAGCAATACGGATTTCGAAAATATAGGTCAACTGGCGATTTACTTACATACGTCACTCACTTATGGCAAAAAGCGATTGAGTTGCGGGGTGAAACAAGAACAATTGCCTTAGATATATCTAAAGCATTCGACAAAGTTTGGCATGAAAATCTGCTCAACAAGCTCAAAGCAATGGGATTTCGCCGAAACTTTGCACTTGGTTTGAAAGTTACCTAAAGGACAGATCCATTTATTTTGCACTGGATGGCCAGAACTCCAACTCTTACCAAATAAATGCTGGTGTGCCACAGGGAGCAATCCTTTCGCCAACTCTTTTCCTGATTTACATAAATGACCTCATAGATAAAACAGTAAATCCACTTTATTGCTTTGCAGACGATGGCAATGTAGTCTCCTCACTCATACCACCCACAGGTCTTTCCGCACGTGAATTCCATCATCTTAGACTAACTCAAATATCGCAGATAAATAACGACCTGGAGATAATAGAGGACTGGGGTAACAAAAACCTTGTACAGTTCAACGCGCAGAAAACCCAAGCAGCTCTGTTTTCAAAAAAGACCAGCACCGGTGAGCCAAACATCATGCTATCTGGAAGTGCTGTCACATTACAGAGTCAGTTGAACATCTTGGGGGTTACTGCAGAGACCAACATGTCTTGGCACAGTCACGTGGCAGATATTGCTAAAAGGGCGTCCCAAAAGCTGGGGGTGCTATTTCGTACAAGACATCTGTACACACCAAGCCAATTGCTGACACTCTACAAAGCCCAGATTCGACCAACTATGGAGTACTGCTCACATATATGGAGTGCAGCACCCAAACATACCTTCATGCTTTTGAACACCGTGCAAAAACGAGCTATCAACCTGATCAATGACCCCGCACTTACTCGTAACTTGGATGGTCTCGAACATCGCATATCTGTGGGCGATTTATCTCTCTTCTACAGGTACTATCACGGAAAATGCTCTGAAGAGTTGGCACGTATGATTCCACCGAGAGTAGCACCTACCAGGCGAACCCGTCAAACAGACGGTAACCATGAATTTACTGTCAAAATAGAGGCACCAAGAACTTCATTATATCAGAATTCATATCTCTGGCGAACAGCATCGCTGTGGAATAAACTCCCTGCGACGGTTTTCCCTGCAGGTTACAACCTGAACCGTTTCAAGACCAACATACACCGACATTTCCGCACACTTGCCGCTTCTCGAGCGTGATAGGACATTTCCTTGCGAGTGCGCATATCCGTAAAAAAAAAAAAAAAAAAAACGCTTATATTAGCTTCACATGTATGTATGTATGTATGTTTGTTTGTATGTATGTATGTTTGTAAGTAACATTGAAAATGTTTATCGCACGGGCACATAGGGATGCGTGCGAATTCTTGGACATAAAACTACCTGTATCTCAAAAATTAGTCATAGGATTAAGTTGTGCTTATGGTAATCATCGATCAGACAGATGAGATTTATAACATACTAAAATTTGGTTAAACTTGACCGCGGTCAGAAATCCCATAAGAAGTGTGCTGGGTCCTTTGTACCTATTTTAAACGCTATAATTTACCACTCAGAAACTACGTCATAGCTGTTATGTCCAATAGCATCATGGCACTACGATATTAATAAGAGTGGCGCGGTCTACGCGTCCTTATATTTTACATGATTTTAGGTTTTCATTGTTTATTAGGACTTGTACCAGTCTGCAATTTCTGCTAGTCAAAACTTAAGCTTTTGGTAGCAACTTATTTAATATAAATTAATGGCAGACGGGAAATAATTGAGCTCAAATTTGAAAATTTTTGACATTTTGAAAAATTAAAAATAAATATCTGTACCACTTCAATTTTTCTGCCGATGCAAAGGTAATATATTAATCCAAAATCCATTGTAACAAAAAATGTTTTAAGCAGGAGAAAATTGTTTCAACATCTCAGCATTTTGATACAACTTCAAAAATTGTTAAATATTATTATAACAACCGAGATTTTCTGCCATTTCCTCACTGATCTCTAAATCGTAAATGCAACATAAATTTAATTTGGCAGGCGGGAGGTCGCTGATCCACATGTCCGATTTTGGCGGCATTTTGAAATTAGTAATATGACACTTTATACTAACCTAGGGTTTCCGCCGTTTAGCTTCCTTGTACTCATTTTTGTTTAAATTACCTTCACAATATGTGGCAGATGGGATAATATTGATCCAAATCTCCACTTTTCATTACATTTTCAACACGCGGGGCTTTTTGAAGTTTCAGCCATTCCACTTCTTATTGCATAAAGAATAACCACCCTCAATGGCAGACGGGAGAAAATCGTTTCAAGAAAATGGTCGTTATGCACCGGTCTATTACCATTAAATACTTTAAATACCTGAAAACAAAATATTTAGGTAAATTGTTTTTTCCTACAGCCGTGCGGAAAAATCGATTTTCCGCACTGATATGCGTGCGGAAAATGAGTTTTCTCGCACGGTGCGGTAAAACTTTTTTTTTTTTGACATATCAGTGCGGAAAAAGTTTTTCCGCACGGCTGTCAGTGCGGAAAAAATTTTACCGCACTGATATGTCAAAAAAAAAAAGAAAAATTTTAAATTTTTTCGCCTGTAGGAAAAATATTGTACCTAACACTTGCGGAAAAATTCATTTTCCGCACTTGTTAGGTAAATAGCTATTTTCTTGCTAACACGAATATTGATATTCTAAAAAATAGTAACAATGGGCTCTTTCACTAAAATTTAAATATGTAATTTAAGTATAAAATCCTGAAGAGAAGACTATTTTAGGCATATACATGGTGTCACGAAAGGTTTGTTACAAACACATTTTATATGCATTTACATCTACCTGTCACCTGACCTGACTATGAGGATACCTGTCCATCCTGGTATATTATTACATACATACATATAAAATGTGTAAATTTGTTGGACATTAAACTACCTGTATCTCTAAAACTAGTCATAGGATCAAGTTGTGCCCATGGTAGTTATTGATCAGAAAGGTGAGATCTATAACATACTAAAATTTGGTTAAATTTGACCGCGGTCAGAAATCCCATAAGAAACGTGTGAGGTTCTTTCCCAATGAATTCAAGGGCCAGTAACAACTAAAATTTGAAATATGAGCGGCTCATGATTCGCTGAATAATTTTTCTAAAAGGAATCAATATCCGTTAATAAAATAATCAAAATAACGATCAGTAGTTCAAATCTTGATAATAAATTACTCAGACGAATCAAGATTATGTGAAAAACCACATATAGACTATATCATAATTGCCACTAGAAAAATTTTCTCTTTTTGCCTGTAAATTAATGCCCCACCTTTCTGGATTGTTACAAAGTGGTTATACATCATATTTTTGAATGTTTTTTTTTTTTTTTTTCAGGATTCCGCTTGCATCGATGAAGTGATCAACGAAATCCGTAAAATCAAATTCGGCGACGGTTTCTTAACAGCTGAACCAAAAAACAACCGAGAAGACGATGTGGTCAAAGGACCTGAAGATATCGATCCTTTAACCCTTTATGTTGGAAATTTAGCTCAAGAAGTAACTAAAAAATTATTATTAAACTTTTCATAAAAACTCAAATTTAATTCTTTCAGGTAACAGTCGATGACGTCCACAAAGCCTACCCAAAACACAAAAGAATCGACATCGGCTTCGCCAAAAAAATGAAATACACCCGATACGCTTTTGTATCATTCCGTAACGTCGATGACGCAATTGAATCCTTTCAAAGCACCCACTCAACAGAAATGTACAATAAAAGCCTCATTGTCCGATTTAGACGGTTGCACGGTACCGTCGGCCTTCCAGGAGATCCCAAACCACAAAACCCTGCTAAAAACACCCTACAAAACAATGAACCAGAATCGGTTGTTGGTATTAATAAAACTCCTTTGAATGCAAACAAATTAGGCAGGCATTCGCCTTTGGCTGATCCAGATGAGTTCGGCAACGATTACGAACTGGAAAGCGAGGATAATTACACTAGAAATATGGAAAATATTTTCAGTAGTGAGCAGAATAATAGCAGTACAGATTGGAGCAGAGTGACTTTGTCCAGAACTAGCAGTGTCCGTATTAAAGATGAACCTTTGGATATGGATCCGGATTTGGATCCTGATGTTGATTTGCCTCTTTTTGATGATGCTGGAATAATTCCACGAGTGCACACGTAGGTTGCTTTTTCTTCATTTTATTTGCTTAATTATAGTTTTTTTTTTGTAGGCCTACAATTGAACCTAGACGTGAACAGGTTCAAGTAAAACAGGAACCCAGGTCTGATCTTCCTTTAACAAGTAAGTCTTATTATTATTATTAGTATTTTATTATTATTTTTATATTTTTCAGTCAAAGAAGAACCCTCTTCTGAATTTCCTCCTGTGCTAAGCGGACGTGCCTCCAGGGGTAGTTTTAGTTTCAATGAGGGTGACAATGTAAGTTTTCAATTTTAATTTTTTTGGCTTTTTTTTTTATTTTATAATTTTTTTTTTTTTTGTGATTATTATATAAGAACTATACTTTATTGTTTTTCGACACTAAAATCTACTTTTTTCAAGGAATCGATTTTTAATGTTTTATCGATTGTGATTATTCTTAAAACTATAAGTACTACTATTTTTTTTTGTTAGCAAAAGTAATACATACTATTGTATAATTTCAATAATCCAAAATCCAATATCAACTGCATAATTAGAAAACAGACAAAAATACGTAATGATGGATAGAAGTTGATGCTTTATAAGGTATTTTTTTATTATTCTCTGTCTTCAAATGTACATTATTTTTTTATACAAACTGAAAATTTGTAGCTTCTTATCGAATCCAGATTTTTTCTTTTTTCAATTTGCATTGAAGTTATTTTAGTACCTAAGTGCGCGTTCACATTGACACCGCTTGAGCGGTGAGCGTTGCGCGATGCCGCTGTAGCAATGCCCAAAAATAATTTTAACATTATATTTCAAATGAACATAAATTAAGTTATTTATTCGCGAAACTTTGTTTTTAAAAAACTTTATTTACGCAAAAATAGAGAATAACTATTACAATACTTATAGGTCTAAGTCTTCAGTTATACTAATCTACTTACAAAGGATCCCTTAGCTCTATATATATCTAAAAGAAGTCATAAATGTGTCATTAGAAAGTAAAACATTATGTTTACATTAAGAAACGATAAGTGATATATTAAGCACATAACTCATGTTAACACCGCGCGTAACACCGATCCAGTGTGAACATGTTCATTTGAAATATAATGTTAAGATTATTTTTGAGCATCACTACAGCGGCATCGCGCAAGCGGTGTCAATGTGAACGCGCACTTATGCCTGTTAACAGTATAATATTCTTATTGGATTGATTATTATTAGATTATTAATAACTATTATATTGTAATTTTTAAGTTTTTTGAATATGTAATTTCAAAGACTACATTTTTTTATAAGTATAATAAGTATATAATTGCCTTCACAGTGTTGGCTTTTATATTTTCAATACATAATAAGTTTTTCTTTTGTCGTTGAATACTGAAATGAACAATAAATGATCTATTTTAAAATGTGGTTCTTCAAATACCTTTTAATTTAAAATATTCTGTATCGCTCTAGATTGTTTCTGGAAATGGGCTCTTTCACTAATTTTTGAAATTGGCATATTTGGATAAAGTAACTAAAAACAGAATTTTCTGTATTTTTACTTTTGAAAAATTCAAAGTCTTTCTTGAGAAAACAGAAAACAAAGAAATACCTCCAAATAAAAACCTAGAATTTATTTCTATGACGTCGCAGCTCGCAATTTGACTGTGTTGCCACTAATTGTCAACATTGAAAATTTGTAATAGATTTAATTCTGAAATGTTGGCAAAATCTCATGAAAAGTAGTTAAATATTAATTAGTTATAGATTCAAGATTTTATAACATTTTGTTGTTATTTGGGGCTTTGAACGGTCTGGAACTTGACTTGTTGGAGTAATAATCAAGGAGTTTCTTTGTACAGTTTATTTACATATATTTACAAGTATTTTCAACATCAAAACTTCTTCTTATTAACATCTTTTCTATACAATACTTTTATAACGGAAAATGCTCATTCTTTACATGATGATTACTTTTTGATGACTTGGGGTCGTATTTTCGAAACCATTCGAATGCCGTTCGTATACGAAATAAGGCAAAATTCGCATGAAAATTGAGGTTCCGTATTTTCGAATCACTTTCGAACGGTCCGTACACGATTTAGTTAGTGTACGTTTACTCGAGTGGGTCTCACCAGCCGAATATCATATTTCGCATGCAATTTTACGTGATTTTACTTGATTCTGCACATTGTTTAGAATTTTGAAATGCTAATTATTTTGTTTATATACGTTATATTTGTTATTTGTTGTTTATGTACCTACCTAAATACGTTGTGCAAATTGAAAATTGTGTTTGATGTTCGTTCTTTTTTTGACTTTTCGTTCGTTTTCAAATAATTTGCGGATTAAATTGTCCTGCTTCATTAAAAGGCACTTTTTGGAAGGGCTGGCTTGGATTATTTAATCGAAAGAAATATTATTGATTCCCTCGAAGAACTTTGGTTGACGTGCTTACTTTGCGCAAATGCTTCTAATTTTCTTTCGCTCCTGAAAGCTGAATTTTCCTAATTTTTAGTTCTAGATGCTCCTCCATGAAGCTAATCAAATCTTTCTTTTGTTCAGCAGACACAAACCCTCCAAAAACCATGATTGTTAGTTAACGTTATAAAAAACAAGGACGTTCAAGGAAATCCCAACGCCAACGATTAGGTGCACAAAATTTATTTCAACAAGATTTATACCAACAGAATAGACTAAATAATACTTGATAAACTCAATGGATAAACTCAATAAACAGCCATAAAATACAAAAAAGAATACCTATCCAAAACACGTAACTTTGACAAGCAAAATATGGCCGGCAGGAGGAACACGAACTACTGTTCACATACACTATTTTTAACATAAATACAACAGTTTTAAATATAACAACGTAAATAATTCACAATAAGATTTAAAACTCATAACACCATTTGATAACACCTACACCTTGACAGACATTTTCATTTAAGTTTGACAGCATCTTGGATAGTCTATAGGTTAACAGCAAAAGTAGGGAGTGTTATGGTATTTTTAAAAAGCCAAATTTCAAAAAATACCTCTTCGTTTTTGTATCGGTCGAAATGGCCATTACCCAATACTCGAATTTGCGACGTTGCCAACACAAATGATACTCGTATACGATATTATTTTCGAAGGGTCCTCAAAAATACGCATTTTAGTTCGTACACGAATTTTTTCATTCGAATTAGATCGCATGCGAAAGAATTCGCATGGTTTCGAAAATATGACCCTTGTTATTAATTACTACTAACAACGAACGACCAATGACAATCAACTATTAATAATTCGACCAATAATAACAACCTTCTACATAACCATACATATTCTATTTTTACATAGACATGTGGCGTCATTGTTTCGCGAGTCCGTTGTGTTCAACCCTGGATGGCTCAACTATTGTGTACAACCCTGGCGGCCTGACGTGACGTGACAGAAGACAGCTGTCCCAGGTTGTTGTTTACTTCTAGTCAGCTTGTTGCCGCGCAATTATGATATCGTGTTGTTGTTGTTAACAAAATAAAGTATTTCGATTTATTTGTATGTTCAGTGCCCAGAATTAAACCGAGTTATTAGTAAAACAGTGTTTTCATTCGCTGGTGATATATCAAGCAAACACATAGCAGTAGTAGCTATAACTGGTGACCCCGACGTGATATATCTCCGCGTACCACTCGGCCTCTAACCTAAAAGACGTGTCTGACTACTAAAAAAATCAAGATGCAAAGCAATTTCGACTCCTCACTAGATCCTGATCAGCAATTGGCTGCAAACAGCTCTTTTACCAACCAGCAACCAGACAGGATTTCGTCAGTGAGTATTCCTATGCCTCAACCTTCTGGCCCTCACGGCAGTACAGCATTTGATCCCGCGGTGCATTTTAATCCAACAAATCACCCGGTGAGCTATCAGCAAGCATATGCCCAACCAGTAGTAAATTCGTTGCCAGCCCCCATGATGCTCAACCAGCAGCAGAGTTATGCCATTGACGCAGTTTACAACTGCAATCTGCCACCCTTTTGGCGTTCTCATCCAGACCTATGGTTCCTGCAGATTGAATCAGTCTTTCAAGCCCACCGTATACAGTCCGATAGCACCAAGTACTATCAATTGGTAAAATCACTGGACCCGGACACAATCACGGAAGTTGCAGACATCTTGAAGGCTCCACCACCTCAAGATAAGTACCAAAATCTCAAGTCTAACCTAATAAGTAGACTAACAGCCTCCGAAGACTCTCAGATGCACAAACTGCTCACTGATCTAGAACTAGGTGACCGAAAACCCTCACAGTTGCTTCGTGAAATGCGAGCCCTTGCCGGCAATCGTGCTACAGAAGACGTGCTCCGCATACGATGGCTGGCCCTTCTGCCTGTCAGCATTCAGCACTTGCTGAAAATTTTCAAGGCCAATTCACTTAACGAACTAGCTGCTGCAGCTGATGAGCTCATGACAAACATCCCTGGTGGCAGTGTCATGGCCGTCAACCAGAGCTCTCGCCAGCATGGACATGGTTCTTCAGTAGCCTCCGAGCTGAACGAACTCAGACAAGCCATCACAGAACTAACCATTGCTCAGAAGGACCTCACTTCTGCCATCAGACAGAGTCTCACCTCTACCAGTCGACAACCACGTGAGCGTTCTGTCACTTCTGGAGAATGCCGATATCATCGAAAATTCGGTGCCCGGGCCCAAAAATGTGTCTCAGCTGCCACTAGCATCTCCGCGCCAGGAAAACTAAATATGCTGTCGCCTGTTCAGGTGGTAAGCGACAGCAATGTCAACAGCACCTGCCTCCCATCTAAAGAAAGTCGCCTGCACGTCATAGACAAGGTCACTGGCATGAAGTTTCTTATCGACAGTGGTTCCGTTGTATCCTTGATTCCAAGAAGCTTCTTTCAACGAAAACTTCTGCCTGCTGACCTCATGCTATATGCAGCCAATGCAACAGTTATCAAAACGTATGGTCAACACTTTCTTAACCTCAATTTTGGACTCCGCAGATCCTTCAAGTGGGCATTTATCATTGCAGACGTCAAATCAGCAATCATAGGTGCCGACCTGCTTTCACATCATGGCCTTCTTCCTGATTTAAAGCACAAGCGCCTTCTGGACTCTCTCACCTCACTGTCTTCTCCTGCTGAAATGCATGAAACCGAACTTCATACTGTTTCCACTGTCAATAATGCAGAATATGCACCTCCTACACTCAGTCAACCCTATAGCAAGTTGCTGGAAGAGTTTATTGACATCACCCGTCCAAGGTCAGCCCCATCAGTGGACGCCCCTACAGGAACTTATCACCACATAGTCACCACTGGACCGCCAGTCAATGACCGTCCACGTCGGCTAAACTCAGAGAAACTAAAGATTGCTAAAGAGGATTTCGACCTCCTGTTGCATCATGCTGTTATCCGTCCCTCCAGCAGTCCATGGGCCAGTCCTCTACACATGGTCCAGAAAAAGCAAGGTGGATGGCGTTCCACAGGTGATTTTAGGAGGCTCAATTCCCAGACTGTGCCAGATCGGTACCCCATACCACTACCAGAAGACATCTTTCAGCGGCTGCATGGGAAAAGTGTCTTCACTGTCATTGACCTGGTTCGAGCTTACCACCAAATTCCTGTAGCACCAGAGGACATACCCAAAACAGCGATAACTACTCCTTTTGGGCTTTTTGAGTTTCTGGGTATGCCTCCAGGCCTGCGCAATGCCACTCAGACATTTCAACGTCATATGGACAACCTTCTCCGTGGTATTGACTTCGCAGCATGCTACATTGATGACTTGATAGTGTTCTCGGATTCCCATGAGGAACATCTGCAACATCTACGCAAAATCTTTAATGTACTGCGTGAGAACAAACTCACTATCAACCTCAGCAAGTGCCAAATCAACAAGTCAGAAGTTATGTACCTCGGCTACTCCATCAACAAGCTCGGATACAAACCACCTGATTCCAAGATCCAAGCCATCGCTTCTTACCCCAAGCCAGAGACCATCTCTGACCTTCGTAAGTTTTTGGGAATGCTCAATTATTACCGTCGCTGTATTCCAAAGGCCGCTGAACTTCAAGCCCCTCTCAATGCATTTATGAAGGTTGCCAAGAAAAAAGACAAACGGCCCATCCCTTGGACACCCAGCTCAGAGAAGGCCTACCAAGACTGTGTAGAAAGCATTGTCAAAGCGACTTGTACCAGCTTCATCTCACCCTCTGCAAGTCTCGCACTCGCCACTTATGCCTCGGACTTCGCCATTGGAGCTGCACTTGAACAGCTGATCGACGACTGCTGGAAGCCCATAGGTTTTTTTTCCCGCAAGTTGAGTCCCACCGAAACGCGATACAGCACCTACGATCGCGAGCTGCTAGCGATTTTCGCTGCAATAAAGTTCTTTCGTCACCAGCTGGAAGGACGCCA